GGTGTCTTCTTTTGATCCGTTTCATTTCTTACCATTAGTTCAGATTTCTTACCATATACCGTATAATACTCAAGGGCTAACATTGGTTCTGAAAATATGTAAGTTATTCAAAGGATCACGATAATTTACGTGGCTACTGTGCACTTTTCACGATTTTGATTGAGGAACTAATTAATTATTATGACACAAATGATTGAACGATCCGAAGATCTTCAATAACACAACTGGGTAGTCCATATGTCGATCAGTGCGTCTTCACCTACTTGAAGAAGACTTCCTCTTGACACTCCTGCCTATGCTTAGGTTACCAGTCTAAAAAGGGAGGCGGACGGTAGGAACGGTTTTGTTTAATCGATCCGCCGCACGCGGCTGTCGCGGGCCATTTGCCTCGTTATAACAGTTCTAGCATTCTTCATACAGCTCGATCGCTATGCCATTATTACTTTTGGGATGGTCCTACTGTGAGTTCTTTTGTTCGTGTATTTCATACTTGCTGCTGCATACTACTACATTCCTTCGTGCGCGACGTCTCTCTCGCCGCGACGCGACAATTTCGTTCCTACTGCACCACAACCGGCTGGAACGACCAACCTGACCGACTTTGTGAGCCTATTGGGTTTAGATCGCATTGTTGGCGGCTTCGAAAAGCGGAAAACCCCACCCCTTTACTTACTTTGAAATTTGTTTTTTCCAAGCGGTGATCGAATTGAGCGAGTATCACAACTCGAACTCTCCGACATGGTGAACATCCCCAAGACTACAGGATCAACGAGTTCACTTGTGGTCCTTTTTCTCGAAGAATTAGATGAATTGGCCGTTAAATTTGCACGTGGCTGTGAGTAATGGCCTAATCTCGCTCGCGGAGGGGGAGACCGAGCTGGAATCAAACAGGCGTCGTCTGCGCAGATTGACCACTAGTGGGTGATTCTACCCGTACAGCTGCCACCTGTCTAATTCGCATCGACCCCGTTCACAGCCTAGACGAACCGCGTAGCTGGTGCCAGTGGCCGAGCCGACTGATGCCTACTCTTTGATATTGCGGCTGCCCTCACACTGCTCTTTTGACTCGGCCAAGTTGACTTTCTTTTTTTTTTTTGTTGCATTTACCCAACAGAAGTCTTTGCGAAGCCAATGCCTAGTGCTCCAATTCTGATCGTTGAGAGGGTCTCATTGAATTTTATCATCGCAAGTGTGACAAAGTGAGCACCGCCAATCTTGTCTTATATTTCTAGGCAATCTCTTTGACTGCATTCTTTGTTGAAGGGGAATTTGTGTGCCCACTTTTCCATTGAATGAAACGTTCTTATCGGAAACTCAAGGACTTTTCGTACTCTGCTAATCCACCGGGACTTCTCGGGGGTACATGAAATATTAGACAAGACCACCTTTCGAACATCCACTCCGCATGAACAGCATACCTCACGAAATCGCAAGCTGGGAGCGCGACTCCTTTTTATCTTTCCTTTTTTTTGCAGCCGTTGTAGAGTTCAGCGTTTGTTTGTTTGTTTGTTTTTCGTCTAAATATGCTTGTCCAAACTAACACCTTCCGCCCTGTTGTAGCGCACCATTGAGTGCACAAATAAATAAATAAATAAATCGAGAACGTGTTGAGAAGTTAAGTTAAGAGGATTCATTTTGTAGAAGAACAACTGCAAGTTCACCAACGCTACTTATTTCATTTTGATCACCATGGAGTGGTCTTTCCCACCTTCTCATACATGCTAGACATCAATCGTTAATGCATTTTATTCTAACCCATGCTGACGTCTACAAACCTTCTCTAAAACTCTGCTCCATTTTGGCTATCAAGACGTTTCGGGAGTGCTTTCGTAGATGAATTCACAGAACCTAGTAGTATCTCTAGATTTCTGGTTGAAAAAAGTCGTAGACTGCATGGAAGACGTCCTCGCTCTCTTCAGAATACAACGACCTCGATGGGAACGGGAGGATTGTAGAGGGGAGCGTAGGGAAGACGGGTAGGGTGGTAGGAACGGTTCCCTGTAGTCGATTCACCGCACGCGGCTGTCGCGGACCATTCGTTCGCCGTCATTACAGCTACAGCGTTCTTCGTACAGCTCAGTCGATACGCGATCCTTATTTTAGACATGAATCTAATGTTAGTGACTTTGTTCCTGTATTTTTTACCTGCTGCCGAGTTCTGCTACATCCCTCCGCGCGCGGTGTCCCTCTCGCCACGACGCGACAATTTCGTTCCTACTGCACCACACCAGGAGCGTAGGCGCTTATCACAATCCATCATCTTTGGAACGCGATATTCCTTGGAATTCATGAAATGTTATCCGATATAAGACCCCCCCCCCTCTTTATCCTCTTGCGTCATCGTGGATTCCACGAAAGAGATTTTTATGTTGCACAGTCCAGTACAGTATAAATCAATACAAACGTGATTGTAGGCACTTGTAGTTATTTATAGTTGTTATCGTGTTTTCCAATTGTGTCTCTGAGACCGCTGGCTGATGTTTTTGCAAAATCACCTTCTTTAAACTCTCTGTAGCAAAATTGTTCTTTCGTAGATAGTATAGGCCAAGGCAGAGTGTCTGTAGGCGCCTATGTGAGCTCCAGCTTTGGTAGGGCTCTCAAACAAGGGATTTTGTAGAGATTCCAGCTGCTTACCTCCACTCAGGAACTCCTTCCCTTCACTTGATGTTCAGGTTTTCCCATCTACAATTTCGAAACAAATTTCGCCTTTTTATGGAAAGAAAACGAAGTTTCAGTATCAGACATTATGAATGACGAGTCATCACAGAATTACGAATGCTGATGCTAGTGCTCCCAGAGATTCCGTTCCGTTGTAAAATATTCGAAAATCGCCGACGAGTGTGTGGGCACGCCTCCAGAAGTGCACTCTTATCGGGAATGTTTTTCCCATGGACGGGGAGCCGCAACGATGGATTGTATGTATGTAGGTATCTATGTATGCAATTAGACCATCGTCTTACTGCGAACTGATTTTTTGCCAATCGCCAACTATCAGCCATTCATTGAATCTACTTCTCATTCAGCAATAAATACTTTGAATAGGCAAAGTGAGGATGGGAAGTTTAAACGCTCCCCACTTGCTGTCATTTCTTTTTCTTGGGCCTTCGGAAAGTAGAGATGGAAACGTTTGAAAATATCCTCTTCGATACCTTTCTCTTAGTATTTTTCTCCTTCAAACAAAACTACAGGCTGCTTTCATAGTCCGCTGCCGGCCGGCGAGCCGGCTGACGTAAAACGAATTAGTTCGTATGTAAGAAGTCTACGTCTGTTGCATTTTATTCCACGGTCAGATATCATGTTATTCGAAATCAGATTTCTGCTTTCACAGTTATCAAAAGTACTCTGTCGAATTGAAAGATAAAGTCTTCAGACATTGATCAATCCCACCTGAGGGATATGCCCCGCATTTGGCTTCCATTCAGAATCGTGGTGACTTATTGAATGCGTATCATGCCTATTCAATGATTAACTGACTATGGTTAGCTCGAAGTACCGGCCGATATATGAACATTACGGAATGATGCACACGATTGGTACAATTTGACGATACTTTATCGTGGTGGACGAGCTGTACGCAGCTGTTCTGCTTGCGATTGGGAAATTTCATGCTCCATGGCAAATGCCGCGGCGCGGACATGGCCATGGTTTCGGCGGTCCGCGCTCAACGCTCATCGCTGTACCCAGAAATGCCCAATCGCGCTTTCCTGAACTCTCACTAAGGATCAGGCGAGGGCTGCTGATTTCTCACCCAACTATGGAGGATTCTATGCTCCACTGTCACCGTTCTGACATAGCTGCGAAAAATTGGACGGTTGAAAATTCGCGCACGTTGAAATAGTTTATATTCAATCGTTCTCCTTCGCGAAGCGCCTGCATGTTATACATAATGTCCAGTATTTGAATTACTCGAAATCTGTGTAGGGTGTTGGATGTTCTGAGCATGTTTTTATTTCGGTATCTTAGTTGTTCGCTTCATAGAACAGAACAGTGTTGGCTCACTCGCTACACCGACAAAATTGCGATTGAGACGACTGACTCTTAAAAAAGCTGGCAGTCCACGGCCTGCAATTACGTCATTACGTCTGAACTTCTGTTCTCAACCCTCAGATACTGCTTATAGCTTATATTATGACTGGATTGGTGAACAAAATTACATGTGAATAGGTCGATTCTGGAGTTTTTAGTCCTGATTATCCGTTCTTCTCGACCAATATTTGCAGAATCCTTTTCGTAAGTTCTGGACATCTCGCAGCTTCGACTCCTCGATTATGGCCTGGGTTCGTTTGTGAATGAAGTTGAAAAAATTCAAATTTCACTTACGGGAGCATTGTCTAAGCATCAATAGTGGTCCACAGGTCAATTTATGCTGACAATCGTCTGCCGATATTTCATTCCTGCTCTATTCACAAGTACACGTTTGCTTTTATTGATTCGTTTTCGGATTGTACTAATCGATTAGCTGGAATAGCCTTATATTTCGTGTGAAGTTGCAGATGAAGAAGTGATGCAGCAGTTTCCGTCTTTAAGAGGGTGTTCTGTCGACCTCAACACGTCACATTTCGCTCCCATTCTAAGTGCTACGACCAATTTTCACTTAGAAGACGTACGTTGCGTTAATTGTCTTTTTGCCTTTTTTCAGGGTTTTTTCAATACATATAATTGTTTAATATACCTTTTATTCGATGCTCATCTTATTGTTCGTGCTTATCGATAACTACAGACGCACTGGATGGCAAACTTTTTTCTGGAGCTCCCCATCAGTCTGTAGGAGCGATTAGTGATCCCAAGCATAAAATTAGTCCCAAGCCGATCAAGAAATCGGTTCTTGTGCTCTTTTACTCTATTCTAAAGTAGATTTTTTAATGATGGATAAGAAGTGGTGTAAAAAAGAGGTGTTTTATCCAAGTCCCAAAGCTAGGTGGCAATTTGGATGATCGCGCATTTGGATGCTTCGTTGAGCATTTCAGGAAGCCGCTGTCGGGCAACCGCTAACTGCTGGAGATCTTAATCAGAATTCAAACGATCAAATGGGAGAATACGGTTCATCAAAGTCTCCTGCATCGGGCTCATCAACACTTATGCCGCCATCGTTAGATTCGCTCAAGTCTGGAATGCGAGGTGAATCTTGTAGTTTTTATCAATTGGTGTTTGTGGTGAACGTTAAGGTCATCGTTCCATGATTGGTATTTGTCCTTGTCTACTGATAGCTTTTATTTATCACATATCATGGAACACTTTTATCATCGTCATTTTAAAAATATAAAATAAAATCTGATGTCGGGCAATTTTCCAGGTAGGTTCAGCGATGAAAACTGATTGCCTTTTTTGGCGCAATTCGGTCGTAGGCGTTAGCTCATAGCCGATTGGAAGCTTAGGGCGAGATTTCTTGTTTGGTATGAAGTATTTAGGCAAAAATCTCTATACTCTTCTCATTACAACTTGTTCTTGGAAAGCAAGAGGGTGATGAAAAAAAAAGTCGTCTGTTCCGGGCAGAACACAAGCCTTGTGTAGATGGTTGTCTCGTTCTTCTCGTAAGGGTTTTTATGGCAGTGAGGAAGTAATGCATGCTGTTTCTTTACAAATCGAATGCAGAATTGACATATTCCCCAATACTGAAGTCTTCTATTTTTCAAATTCAGTTGTTCCTTTCGACGAACTAAACACCTAGGGATTAAGCAAGAAGATAAGCTGAAACTCTTTTTTAGATGTGCCAGCTTGGCTGAAATCACTACGCCTCCACAAGTATACGGCGATGTTCGCTGAACTTAGCTACGAAGAAATGATGAAGCTTGATGAGGCTGAACTTGAAAGGAGAAATGTAACCAAAGGTGCACGTACAAAAATTCTGCAATCGATACGAAAGTTGTATTGTCGCGCTGGTGATCTTCGTGCAATGCATGAGGTGCTTTACTCGTTCCCGTTTATGTATCTATAATCCAAGAAATCAGGTGGCTTCATATTAGTGTTATTTCATTCTTCTACTTCAGAGACTATCGTTGTCACATCCACAACGATGTCTTCGCTGTGCCATTGCGACATTACGCCAGATGATTGCCACTCCAATGATTCCATATACACCAACACCTGGTGAAAATTCTGATTGTGTACACGGCTTTGTGTGCATATCCTATATAAACAATCAGGTTAGTTTTTAACGCAAAGTCGACTTCTTGCAGCATGACACTTGTCAGCAATTTTTAGAATCTGCCCGGTCTAATTTTCAACCTTCTTGGTGAAATTCAAAAAGCAGTATTCATGTCTGGACGCCAACCGATTGATATCGAATACGAGTATCTACTGATGCTCTTCTCCATATATGATAAACTTAACAACAATGAGGTACTCTCATTTTGACGTCTTGCTTTTCGGAACTTTAGTAGCTGTATTGATTTTTCGTACTCAATCTGCACCCATTTTTTAATGAATATCTCTGATCATCTCATCAAGGCTTTAAAAGCTGTCGTATGTTGTAGCTTTTATATCCTCGAAATGCTATAAAAGAGGCCGATAGTTAATATAAAGCACGTATGACCCCTTCCATTGCGGAGTGATGCCTAATTTTCCTTTATTCGCAGGCTTTTACTCCAGTCCAGAAGCAACGCGTTCATCAATGGAAACGCCTGGCACGAAAGGCAATCCGTCCGGCAGATGTACGTCACCAGAGAGTTGGTCTCCCTCACTCGGGAAAATGTGAAATTTGCCACCACAAGGTAAGCATTTTCGGCGATAGATTAATCAATAGGTAGTTTTTAAATTCATTTAACTTCTGCTCTACAGGATATGGTTCATCGTGAAAGGGCGAAAACAAGCTTCAAATTGAATTCCGGAGTCCCTGAAACTTCGCCATACACTCATGTTCAACAGCAAAACATTGTGAGTGGTAAAACTTTCTATACTTGGGTCGTGAGCAGTAAGGCATCCTTCGGAGGAAGCTCAGGCGTTTTTTAGGGGAAGCTCTTTATTTCCATCCATCAGGGTATTTTGCTATTTTGTTACTCCTAGACCGAATAGAGGGTTGCGAAGCCAAGTAAAGGAATTTAACGATCAAGCACGCGAAGGACCAAGTAGTCATAGAGTCGATGGAAGGAAACAAATACATTCTCTCATAACGGGCTTTGTATCATTCCACTGAACTAAATACAGTTGAATAGAAATTGATTTTCTATTTCAGACAAACGGGATGGTGAGTCATCAGTTTTTGCAGGCTGCTGTGGAATGGTCCCCCTTCGTGCAAAAGCCCCCTTATAACGCAAACTCGACAGTCTCAAAAGAGCAACGAAGGCAAGATGTTTCATGTGTGGGGCTCTCAAACTTCTTCGTGGACTCTTTCCATCTCGAGACGCCGAAAATTCGTACCTATAAGACGGTGAGTCGGCCAAACGTCAAAAATTGTGCTATCACTCTTGTTATTTCCGGGGACTCCCTCACTGTGCTGCGTACGAGGTAATTTGAATGGCTCACAGGAGTGGAAGGAGTGCGTACTATGGACTCCCTCATTTTTTATCGCTTTTACAAAGATGTTGCGCATGTCAGTGCATAATTTTACCGTAGTCCTACACACACCATGTTAGGACTAAAAAAAAGAAAAATTATTTCTCGCTCACTGTGGGTTGGAATACAAAATACTTCTTTGCTTACAAAATATTATCGATTCCCACTCATGAAACTTTACAATGTTGTATTGTTGCAGATATCGGCCAGTAAACCATTCACTCAATCTTTCCCACAATATCGTTCTCGACCTTTCACCGCAACTGGTAGCAGTCATGCTGTTCCTTCGCTTTCCTCTTCTTCTCAAATGTTCGGAGAGTCACCCCGCTGGCCTCGCTCAATTTATGAGAATCACCAGTTCCTCTTTCACGGCGATTTTGCTTGTGACACCATTCAAGTTCCCAACCAGGTGAGGTTCTTCTCAATTTTCCTGACTTCATCGAGATTATTTATTTGGGTTGATTGATTGTGTATTATTCCAATGGTTTGCAAATTCGAGGTAACTACTTCGGCTGCGTCTATCTGGGTACCATCCTCGGCCATAGGCGCAGTTACTGAGCGAGGTTGTGAATCGACATCAGGTTACAGTAGCTCCACCAGTGAGCGATCTTCCGGGGCTGGCTCACCTCGGGCTTGTGCACCCGGTCAGACTTTATATGACCGTGTCTGCCGTGATGTGGCTGCACTTCAGCTCAGTATTTAGAACAGAACAGCTTTTCTTCAAACATCTCTAGCCTTTACTGTCTACTTTAAAGCCTTCATAGGAAATTATTACGATAGTTTACTCGGTTTCCAAAATCCTGTATTATAGTTAGACATGTTCTTCCTATATTGTAAATTTGTGAATGTATTGATCCCTTCTTTCTGGTTGTAAGGAATTCTGAACAATCTTGTTTACATTGAATATGCATCTCACTTCACCGGCTGAGTCGTTCTTTCAGAGCACTGTGCTTTTTACCCATTGTGGGTACAGTGCCTTCGTGTGTCCACGCAAATACATATCGTCCTAGTCTAGCGTTCACTTTTTTGATCGGCTCTGACTTCATCGCCTTCCAGGCATTGCCGCACAGCATGACATGCATCTGCTCTTTGGGGCATCACTTGCTTTGTGTTTCATTAATGGTTGCCAGTGCCTCTTCTTCTAGTTTATTCATTTGGCGTTGTCATTAAATTCGTTAGTGGCAAAGGCACTTTCAATCAACTTTTTGGTTCTGATCAGTTGAATTTTTGCTTCCCCTGTTGTTGTTTTCAAATGAGCCCTTGTTAAGAAGTTTTCAAATTTTTGGTGAATACGGATGAGTATTGGATATTCTTTTTGGGTTTCTGTTTTTTCTTTATTTATTCTCTAACTGCTTAGCATGAGTGAAGAACATATGCTCAGTCTATATCAGGTTTATAATAGGCACCCGTTTGTTCCCAAATCCCGGGATCTTTCGATACTTGGACGTACTTTCTGTACTTTGAGTAAAATGCTCATAGTTATGATAGGTCCTGTCTTTTCGTATTGTCTATTCTGTTGAAAAACTTATAGAGAGGTCTATTGAAGCGAAATCAGGCATGAAACCAAAGGCAAACCAAGTGTTGTTCGGTTCATTGCGTTGACTCTAGTTTTTTCTTCTCTTATTTCATCTGCGCTGTTCTTGTTTGGTTGTTCAACATCATGAGAGTTGTCTTCTTACTTTTGTTGTTATTGTAATGCAGGGCTTCCTTGTAGCCCTAGGCGCCTATTTTGCACAAGTGGTGAACAGCTCATATGCCCCTGATGGTATCTTATCCTATGCTCCTCTTATTCACTGAAAAAAGCGATCCACTTAATCTACATATGTAATGATTATTGTGCTTTTTGATCGGTCTTATGATGTTTGTATGACTGCCCTGAGGAAACTGTAGAAGTCGTCCTTGATATTAGAATACTTATCTCTTTCGGAGCAGCCTCTTCTGAATGCCTTCAGGATCGTCTCATGCTGTACTGTACCACTTGAAATAACGCTTCTGCTGAGCTGGTCTCAGCTCTGCTTGCTCTACATCCTATCAATGGGTGTTTTATCGTCGTTCCTTTCCAATTGCATCTTTTATTCAAACTTGCCATTCGTGAACGCCTTTTATGCGATCAAGCTCCTGTCCTGCTCTACTTTTTGTGTAAATGCATTTTGCTATACAACACACGCTTGGCATGCAAAGATAGCGCATTTTAAAACATTCAGATGTCAATATTATGTGCCTTTATACTATTCAGATTTTTCTGTAGTGATCAGAATAAAGTATTGTGGAACTGGGCCTAAGAAATTGTTTACTGTCCAAGTTAGTCCAATTTTCCTGATTGTCGTGGGGTGTGGTGCAGTAGGAACGACATTGTCGCGTCGCGGAGAGAGACGCCGCGCGCGAAGGAATGTAGCAGAATGCAGCAGCAAGGTAAAAATACAGCAACAAAGTCACTAACAGTAGAGTCATGTCTAAAATAAGGATCGCATATCGATTGAGCTGTATAGAGAACGATAAAACATTATAACGAGGCAAATGGTCCGCGACAGCCGCGTGCGACGGATCGATTACACAAAACCGTTCCTAATGTCCGTCTCCCCTGGGTTTTTATAGCGCTTCCAAGAAAGATTGTGAAATTATGATTTTGACCCCGCCCACACCAGTGCATATACCCACCTACTACGAACTCTTAGCCTTTATTCTCTTGGTGAATGCTGCCTACTTTGCAATTACCAAGAGACTTTTGATAGGGGTTGCAGATTTTTCATTCTAACTGCTCTCACCACTGCGTATAGCTCCGCCTACCTTCAACATTCCCCTATAGCCTCTAATATGTTTTCACTGAAATCTAGAAAGAATGATCCGCTCTTTGTGGGTGGCTCTCCTTCACCACATTCTTACCCCCCCCCCCCCCCCCCC